TTCTTAGTATATATTTCATTCTTCGATGAAGAGGGGAATCAGGTAAATTCAATCGTACGGTGGCTATGCTCTGAATACAGAAGCGGTTGCGGAGAGGGGGGGGGGGGGGGGACTGGTACTGGGAATGGTCAATATATGTACGAGCAAAACTCTCAGGGGAGTACTCAACAAAAAAGTAAATAATAATATGCCTTGGAATAAAATCTGCCACAATCCATAAGTCCCATTTTAACATTTTGAAGGTTAAACGAAAATTGAGTTACACACACACACACACACACACACACACACACACACACACACACACACACACACACACACACACACACACACACACACACACACACACATGGGCATATAGAGTTATTGGTATAATCTTAAAGCTTGTTTGCTTGTCTGTATTTGTTTGAAGACAATATTTATAATTCTTGAATACAAGCAGAGGCGAAGCGTCTATATAATTAAATAATCACTGCTTCCCTTCCTAATTTTGAAACATTGTCGCAGTCAAATTCACCCATAGACGTAAACCTCATAAATTAAATGTAAAAAGACGTTCATAATCACCAATGAGCAATAGACTATGCCTAACCTTCAAAACCGTTTCATTGCCACAGAAATAGCCTGTTCGCCCCTATCGGACCACTCCATAAGCAGTCACAAGCTTTGATTAAGTAAGCTTAAAGTGAGGCTGGAAGAGACAACCAATGGATTTGAAGGGAACATGTGCATAGCAGTCAGAACTGTTTCATTGTCGCATATACCTTGTTCACCCCTTTCGGGTCACAGTTATAAGCACCCAAATGCGCTGATTATCTAAGCGAACTATTACACTGGTCGAGTCTACCTCACAGATGTGAGGGGAACTAACTCCTAATAATCCTTTGACTCCTGCTACTACACAGCTAGTGTTTGTTTTTTTCCTTGACTTTTTAACGTCCTATAATCAGATCGTGACCTCGATTATGACAGCGGCTCCTGGCCGCGAAAAGCTAGACAAAAAACAGCCAAATGTGAAATAAAAAATTGATAGTTGGCATGCTCTACCAAAGTGTTTCGGCTGTCTGGTATAACATGCCATTGTAGTGCTGACATCTGTGCTTCTTTCCTTGGTGTTCGTGTGTTCAAATTTAAAGTTAAATTTAAGGTTAGTTAGAATAAATGTTTAATGAAACACTTTCCCGATTATTTTAGCGGTTGAACAAGCATACAACATGAATTCAGGACTTGTTTTCATTCACAACTCAGAGTTGCCGCCTCCAGTGCCAGTAAGATTCTTGTGACTTGTGTGAGTGTGATATCTCCAGGCCCTATCTGGTCCCATTTCACTTTGATTACCCTGTCAAACAAGTCAGCCTTCGCCCCTGAATACAAGTCGAGATATTTGCTAATGAAGGCGGTGGGGGTCACTTGGTTTCAGAGGTAAAATTAGTGAGAAATTGGCCGCCAAAGGTTATTTATTTCCATTGCGTAAGAGTCCGTGGTAACTGAAAATTTACATTTTTTTAGCATTCAATCAACGTTTTACTGTCAATTCCACTCAGAAATTAGTTCTTTAACCGGCATTAAAGGTGTTAAGCCAAAAAACCAAACATTCGATAAAAATTCACAAACCTGCGGAAAAATGCCAGTTTCTTCACTTTGATTATTTTGACGAGAGCCTGATTCCAGCTCATTGCCTCAGAATATATATCTATATATCCGAATAGATATAGAATGATGTTGGATCAAGTGCTGGTAGATAAAGTAGTGGTGTACAACGGATGCTGTATTCGTATTAGGACAGATATGTCAGAAAACAATAGAAAGAATCCAACATCGTCTTCATAGACCAGGAGAACGCCTTTGACAGAATAAACCACGCAAAAACTCTGGAAGACACTCGAAAAGTATGGTGTCAGAGGACAAATATTAGATAATGTCAGAGCTCTATACACTAACAGCAGACGCTCAGTAAGAGCGAAGGAAGGCAATACAGACTGGTTCAAAGTAAGATCTGGAGTACGACAGGGATGCCTTCTATCTCCCCTTCTGTTTGTAGTATATTATGTGGACCCAAAAACCGCAAGGCGCAAACCAAAGCCCAGAAAACCTAAATAAACTTATCTCCACAAACAACCAATGTCTTATTCATCCAAACCCACAAAGCCTCCAAAATCACACTACCAAACTGAACAATAGCTGCGAGAGAAACCGTAGTCCCCTGAACATCCACGTCAATAGTTAACAACTGAAAAAGTGAAGGAGTTTAAATATTTTGGCAGTACTTTCTCTGAAAACGGGTTCATGGACAGAAAAATAGAAATGCGAACTCAAAATGCCAACGCTGTCACAGTGTCACCCGCCAGCTCGCACCCCCCTATCCCATCCAAACATCTCCATGTACACAAAGTGACAGCTTTTCACCTCAATATTCATATCAACATTATACTACCAGTGCCAGACCTGGACATTAAGTAGAACCCATGAAAGCAAAACCACCACAAGCGAAATGAAATGTCTTCGCAAAACCCTTAACATCACAAAACGAGACAGGCAGAGAAATGCAGAAGTAAGAGCAGCTATCGGTATTGAGTCCTGTCTGCATTACATAGAAAGACAGAGAATAAAATGGTTTGACCACCTGTTACGTATGTCACCTGGCCACCCAACCTCGAGAGCCTACAACACCAAGCACCCAGGCTATAAAGGAAGAGGAAGGCAACACAAAAGGTGGATCGAGGGTGTCAAGGAAACCCTGAGAAAACATAATATCACAACTGAAAGAGCTGCAGAGTTGGCTTACTATTATAAGAAACTGCATTTCCCCTCGACTCTTAAAGACAACAAAGGATGAAAAATTCAAAGTAAAAGTAAAGAAAAGTACATCAATCAGCTTCAAAATCATAGACAACATCTCAAATATGAGGGATTTAAAAGAACGTATCACATTAACCTCAACGTTTTACAATAACATGTTTTACACAACGAAATCTCACAAATGTGAGAGGCTATTATAATGCCATATCAAAAGCGATTAACGATGATTTAGAAATCCAAGAGGGGCTTTCAAATATTTTATCTATTATATATTTTGCAACTTGGAAACACATGTGTCACTTTCCCCTTAAAACTACGGCAGCTACAGAGTTGAAAGTTAAAGTTGGCAAGTTCCTGCAAAAAGATAGGTCCCCATGACGAAGCCCGATTTTTTATTTATTCATTTCCAGAATTTCCAAAAATATATTTGACTAAAAGTTACCGTCCTTCTTTGTCCTTTGTGATTATTCCACTGAGAAACGAAACAAATCTGCGCAGCTGTCCTTCACAGCGGAAGTGCCGGAAGCGATATTTTGCGAGGTGCATTTTGTTTTGAGAGTATAGATCTAGGCCTTCTAATTTTTGCGTCTCTCAAGATTTATTGCTCTATTCTAGTAGAGTGTAAATATAGTAGGCCAATGACTTTCAGCTGATGTTAATGCACCGATCATTCCTTTCATCGAAAGGGGGCCCAGCAAGTAGAATAAAAAAAACAATATAATTGATTTAACTCTTCCCTGAGTAAATAAATAAGACAAACTCTTCTGTGGTATGCGAAAGGAAAACCTAATCTCGAATTTTGATAACCGTAACCAGTTATTCAAAACTACGATGGTTTCAGTTGTACCTCTTATGTGATATTGTAACCATTGATGGATCGGTCTAAAAATTTGTTCAAGGTCATAATGACATGAGTGGAGTCTGTTAAGGCTCACTGAAACAATAGACTACCTGCTTTAAATTTGTAGTAGTTTAGGTAAATTCTGGTCTGTTCTGTCGAATTTGTTGACCGAAAACAACACCAAAGTATTATCAGATTATGCTGGATAAATAAACTAATATTATTCGGCAAGTCACAAGCACACAATAATAACAAGATTCTAAACTTTATGCTTGAAAAAACAGTTCTTTTACAATTTCCATTTTAAACATTATTAGCCTAATCTGTTGTAAGCTGACAAAGTGCCTTTTTTATTTTGGAGGCTAAATTTTAGTCTGATAAGTTACCCTACTGGCGTTAAAATATTAAACTAGTTTTTTAATACAATAACATTAAAAATTCGGAAGAATGCCTTTTAAAAATAAATACACTGACAAAAGCCTACTTCTCTCGAAACTGTTGTGATTTTTACAAAAATGTGTTTTGCCAGCTTACTACAGGAATGCCATGCTGTGGAACCACTGGAAACCCTGTTCAACATTCACCACAATTAAAGTCAATCGACCCCTGGGCAATGTTTAGACAACAAATATACCACGTGGTCTATATAAGAAGCCAAAACAACTGCTTAAAAGATCCTCCAAAAATTTGGTATACAATGCATATTTGTGATTCATTGATAAGGCTGCTAGATTGTGAAAACATATGAAGGGCACAGGGAAAAAACGGGCAGTCACAAACTGAAAATCGTGAGAGTATCAATTTTGAACGCTTGTTGACTCAACTGCATTTCTGTTCATCTGTTAGTTGGCTTTGTTATTTGATTTTCCATTCAACAAACATCAATAAACCACCAGTCAAACAAATATGAAGTTAAGATTTTCACAAGCTTTTAAAATTGACACCCTCACAATTTCCAGTTTGTGAATATGCCCCTTTTCACCGTGTGCTCTTCATACGTCTATAACTAAAGATATGATAATATGATCAGTGTGTGTATTGCTATTTCTACAATTTCACCTTACCTTGCCCCCCCCCTGCCCCATCCAAATTCCCCGACCTCAATTTGCACCCCTTTCCCTTAAAAAACCCACCGATGTTATCCACCCCCAAACAAACAAACAAACAAACAAACAAACAAACAAACAAACAAACAAACAAACAAACAAACAAACAAACAAACAAAATATTGACCTCATCCCTTCGCCCCTTTATTTCCCCCCAAATTCCGACCTCTTTCTACCAAACCTTACCAACCTCAACCCCTGACATAAAAATTTCAAAACTCTACCTCCTCCCCACCCCCTCCCCCGCCTGGCAG